GTGTAGATACTTTCTAGAGTCCATAATTGTCTTGAGACGGATGGCGATGTACTTTCTTAGTTCTGGGAGATTCATGTAATTACTGGTAAATGCTCTAGATTCGATCTATGGGGAGCTATTCAAACTAGAAATAAATTACTGCAAATTAGTACATGGCCGATTGAAAGGTGCACATTACCGAAATTTCCTTAGAGAGCTTAGAACCTCTAATCGTTTGCTTAATTCCTCTAGATTGTCATATAGTCTGTATAGCACACCTAGATGGCATTGTAAATTGTCTATTCTCTTAGATGAATTAGAGATAATTAGGCGCCTCAATGAAACACTAGGAGACGGTTCCATGTAGTTTATCTAGTTCACTGGAATATCTTGGGAGACTACACAGACTAGCAATCTGTTTGTCTAGTTTATTAAGGATTCTAGGCTTCTAATAAGAGGATTTCAGGTTTTGTTGGTCCTAATTCCCTAGAGTAACTAGAGTTTCACATGAGGCTACAAGACAATTTACAGCGATTTTGACAAACTATAGTGAACTAAAAAAATTCGGTGCCAGAAGATGTTTTGCTGATGTAGACCACGTGCTCCTGGAGTCTCCCAGTAGCGGTACCAGTAGACGATATTCTACTGGTGTCTACTTGTCTCTATCAGGCTTGGCCCATTTTCCTGATGTGGTACTGGGGATCCCGATATTTATATCGACAAACTGTGGAAATTATCGGATGACTTGGGTAGGCCTCCCAATTTGCGACGTCTAGGCTTCCCATCACAAAGGTGGCGGATTTCCTACGATATTACAAAGTTTTTTGACCATCATCCGTCCTTAAAGTGCCTCATAAATTTCCCACTTACCCGTCATAATCTTGAAATTGCAGGGGATAGACTGGTGGTTGAGAGGCTCGAGACCTGGGAAACCATGAAAAGTATATTACCCATTCTGGAAATTATCGAATGTTTAAGGAAGGTTTCTTTTCATTCAACTTACTGGTCATCGGACTGGAATGTGGAGGAGATCACGTCTGTTCGTGCAATGCCTTGGACAGATCTGAGTTTCGCTCTATCTTTCTATTCTTTTTCACCAGATATACTCGGGAAGCTCTCCTCTCTGGTCAGGCTTAAGGGTGACGTTACTATGAAGCAATTCAGCTCCATTGCTCCTGTCCTCTACCAACTTCCAAAGCTAAATCATGTCGATATCGGATTGTACTTCTACAA